TACCCGGACAATGCGAGTCGACGTGATCAAGACTTACTCCGCTCCTGTTCTCATGACTAGTGGTGTCCCACAGGGATCGGTCCTGGGCCCAGAACTTTTCAAGATCTTCATCAATGATTTCCCGGCGGAACTTCAATTGGATTGCTTGATTTACGCTAACGACTTGTTGTGGATGAAGGTATCCTGTCTTGACGATGCGGACCGATTACAGGCTACACTTGATACGTTACATGAGTGGTCAGTCAAATGGTGATTGCCCATAAATTGCGATAAGTGCTCGGTCCTCCCCATTGGTGTTCCTAAGCCTTTCGGGACTACCACATTGGTGGGGCGTTGCTCAGGACTTCAATCCTTGAAAAAGACCTCGGCGTGTCATCTGATCTACGGATTACACAGGATACGATACGAAGGGTTGCTGCTGCCAACGGGATGTCCCGTGCCATACGAAGAGCCTTCTCGCGTTTGACTCCGGATATCTTCAGACTCTTGTTTACTTCTCATGTGCGCCCTATTTTTGAATACGGATTACCTGCCGTCTTCTCTCTCAAGTTCGAAAGTGACCTCATTGAGAAGGTCTAACGGCGTGGATCGAAATACATCTTGGATGTACGAAATTTTCCTTATCCCCTGAGACTTCAGCTGATGAACCCGTTCTCCATGGATTATCGCCGACGTTGCGGTGACCTGATTTTCACCAGGCGCATCCTGAGAGGAGAGATGGGGGCAGAGCTGCAGGTGTGCATTCAATTCAATGCAAACAGTTCAACTCGAGGCCACAACTGGAAACTTGTTAAACCCAGAAGGCCCCGGGTTCATCCTACTTACGCTCTATCAACTCGCGTAATCAACGATTGGAAGGAGTTACCGAAGCATGTGGTCGATGCCCAAACTGAGGAATGTTGCAAGCGAATGTTAGATTCTTATCTATTAAGTACGATGGGCCCTTGCAGTTTCCACTGTAGCTGTCACGGTCCTTTGTGGATTACCGCTTAACATCGAATCGCGAACTCCAGACAGTGATCGGGAAGCGATGGAATTGACAAAGGATTTCTCCTTCTGCTCTCTACAATCCTCTGATCCTAAACGAATCCCGAACGTTTGCTTAGCTTGGGTATGTACTCAATGCACTACCGGAGAATTAGAGGATATGATCCTCACTTACCGTATCCTAACGCGGAAGATCGGTTAAGACGTGCTGGCTATTTAGTCCCACCAATCTGCCTAGTCTCTGAGGTCACCCGTTGAAGCTGCACAATCGGCGTTCTGACCGCTTGTCGCGCTGGGTTATTAAACGTTGGAACTCGATTCCGGAGCACGTCGTTAGCGAGACTACGGCTGAGGGTTTCGAGCTTTATTGGATGCTCTACTGGATCATTGGATGATAGAGAGCAGAAGGAAGATCCTTTGTCAGCTCCTTTACTCCCCAATCATTGCGGAGATGGCGTGGGTCATTGCGGCAGAAGGTTCCGCAGTGCACCACTGTAGCTGTCTTAGAGGCAGTAGAATCCCAGCGCGCTCAGGTGAGAATCTAACAGTTGTTTGAAACGTTCCTCTGTCTCAGCATCAACAACAGGATCCGGCAACCGGTTCACCACGCGAGTTGATAAGGCCAAATTGAGCCGCACACGGAGATTTCTCGGTTTGAACAGTTTCATGCGGTGGCCTCGTGTCGAACTCTGTGTTGAGTTGAAAGAAGTCTTGTAACTCGCAACCCAATTCTCCTCTGAGAATACGTCGAGTGAATATCAAATCTCCTCGGTGACGGCGGTAAGCTAGAAAGAACAAGTTCAGTCGTTGAAGTCGGTGTGGATACGACAGGTCTCGCAACTCAGGGACGGATTTGGATCCACGCCGTTGAACCTTCTCTATCATATCACATTCCGATTTGGTGAGAGAGTAGGCAGCGGGTATATATATATATTTGCAAAAGTCTACGAAGAGACATAATGCCAAAGGCTCGGTGGTGTCCCCGAAGTCAACACCCTACTTCGGCTTGGGCAACCGGGTAGTATCTCGCCCTCTGAGGAAACCATGGACATCGTTGTGTTGTGTTTTATTGTACTATTTCTGTACCTTCGTTTGAATCCCATGGTTTCTGATGGCATTATGTCTATTCCTAGGCAGCGGGTAGCCCGTATTCGAGAATCGGGCGTACATGCGATCCAAAGAGGAGTCGGAAAAGTCCCGGAGTCAGGAGAGAAAACCCTTTACGTATAGAATGGAACATCCTGTAGGCCGCGGCGACCCTCTTCTGGGTGTCTTGAATAGATGTGAAGTCTGATGACACTATCACTCCAAGGTACCTCTCTTGGGTTGCGCTTTTGAGCAAGGAACCATCAATGTGGTAAGTTCCAAATGGGTTTGATGAGCCAACGGGGAGAACAGAGCACTTATCACGATTTACGGGTAACTGCCACTTAATCGACCAGTCATGGGGTAGATCGAGCGTAGTTTGTAATCTGTCGGCGTCTTCAAGGCTGGATACTTCCATCCATAGCCTTAGGTCGTCAGCGTAGATTAGTCAATCCGTCTGAAGAGTGTATGGTAAGTCGTTGGTGAAGATATTGAAAAGTACGGGACCGAGAACAGAGCCCTGTGGGACCCCACTCGTCATGAGCAGAAAATGTGTCACTCACCTTTACTTGCATAGAGCGATCGTTTAGGAAGTCGGAGATCCAAGACAGGTTCCCAGAAATACCGATTCCTTGGAACTTAAACAGGAGCCGTTCATGCGGGACTTTGTCAAAAGCTTTGCTGAAGTCAACAAACACAACGTCAAAGCGTTTGCCGGAGTCTAGCGACCTTGCCCAGATCTCCTTAGCAACGAGCAAGTTCGAGGTACAGGAGCGTGCTTTTCGGAACTCATGCTGGGAATAAGATATGACATTCTGTCCCCCAAGATGAAGAGTAACAGCTTGTTTTAGGATCCGTTCCATAAGTTTACACACCATTGACGTCAAACAGATTGGACGATAATTGGCCGGATCATGTCGACTCCCTCCTTTGTAAAGGGGTTTGACGATACCCACTTTCCAAGCTGAAAGAAGACGGCCAGCTTTTAGTCAGCGACGAAAGATTTGACATATGGGTGAAGCTATGTACTCCACCACAGTCCTGAGGAACAAAGGATGTAATCCATCAGGGCCGGGTGAGCTATACGGATCTAACTGAAGAAGTTTCATCACAGAATCAGTGTTAATATCTACTTAGGCCAACGAAGATGGAAAAGTGGATACGGCTCTGTCGCTAAATGGTGTTTCTTTCGCGTAAACAGAAGCGTACTGCTTAGCCGTGACTAGCTTTCTCAGTGTCCTCGTGAAGTAAAGCTGGATAATCACAGGAACACAAAGCAGAGATGCCATTATCAGCTCTAGTGCTTCTTTTCAAATAAGAGTAGAGCATTTTAGGCGCGATTCTGGAGTGTTTTGCAAAGGATAGTTCGTGTTGTTGGCGTTGCTGGCGCTTCATCGCGACACAAACATTTCTGACAGTCTTGTAGTGAGAGAAGTCTAGTTTTGAATGAGATTGCCTAAACCGGTCCCACAATTTACGTCTTCTATTTATAGTTGACCTCAACTCTCGATCCATCCAAGGTGGATCTCTAGCGAGGGGCTTGCGATGAAAGGAACGACCTGCTCAATTAACGACGTCATTTTGGTGAGTACAAGATTCCACGCGTCGTCGAGGTGAATGTGTTCAGGGATATCCCAATCCGTAGCGCATGCGGTGGTTTTCAGACGGAGTGGGTCGGCACGCCAAAAATTCCGATGGTGACCACCGTGGCTATGGGTCGTGAGACGGCGAGTCCAGTGGAATGAAAAAACACAATGATCGCTCTTGCCTATGGGTAGAAGAACGGTTAGGTTCGTGACATCCGAATCTGCCGGGAAGAGCACGAGATCTAGGATGTGCGGGGTCTGGTCTGGGAAAATACGAATAGGCGTCAAGGCATGTTGAACGAGGCTGCAGTCGAGAGCGGTTTTAAGCAATGTGGAATCGAAGGAGTCAGATCGGCGATCACAAAGAAGTAGGTCCCAATCGATATCCGGTGCATTGAAATCCCCCAAGATTAGACAGTTTGTGCCCACCATACATCCTTATCGAGCCCAACAAGCGCGCTCCGGGACCCGATGGGGCCCTGTACACGATACCGACCAAGAGAGATCTGCATCCGTCATGAACACGGCACCAGAGGACTTCGAAATTGTCATCCTGGTCACTGATAGCTTTAACTAAATATACTTTGAGATCTGTCTTCCAGTAGAGAATTACTTTACCACCTGACCTCACACCGTGGCGATCGGACCGGGAGTGGTGATATCCAGAAATAGACACTTCCGTCCGTGATATCTGAGAATAGCCAGGTTTCGGTGAAGGCCATCAAGTCTGGACGAGTCTCCAAAGTAAGCAACTAGGATGGTAGTATCAAACATTTCCCTTCTCCTAACCGACCAGTATCTTCAACTCTCCAACCGGTATTTTATTTTTCTCACATCTTGGTATTATCATTATTTAGCTGACATTCCTCCTCGTGTTTTCTTAGCTTATCCTTCACTCAGCAGGGACTACTTGGCAGAAAAATGTGGGCAATAATTGGTTGGACAGGGTGTGATGCAGTCTTTGTTTTAGGCTTTCCAACATCTCAAGCAGATCTATCAATTCCTGATCCAATGATACGCAAAAGAAAGAATATTCATGGGATTATCTTGTCGCTCCGGTCCCAAGCGAACTTGTAATCACCGTCATTGGCACATGAGAGTTCCACTAATTGGACCTTTAGATCCGCCCTCCAGTAGAGTATTCCGCCGCTTCCCGACTTCCCCTGCATGACGATGGACACGTGTCCAACGCGGGATGCCACCATTCCCTCTGAGGTACTTCAGAGTCTGCGATCTTTTAATTGACACCACAATCTAGAAAAAATTGTATGTAGATGTTGAACAAATAAGATACAAAAATTTAGCAGACAACTTAGAGCAGCAACTAAAAACGGAACAGACCTTTGGTTGAGTGATAGTCATTGGATGCAGTCTGAAGTACAAGGTCGATGCCGTTTATAATCACGCACGAGGGTAAAGAAAGCAGGAGTTCGGAAACATAGGCCACGCAAACAACAATAGGGATTTTGCGTTCGACAAACAGAGCATTTATTTTCTGCAGAATTACAAAAATAGGTGTGACAACTATTACCTCAGTGTTAAAGTACAGATCCTTACAGCCAAAACCGCTAGGACTTATGAAAATTTGCGAATCGCAAAGTGGTTGGGAAAAGAATTGTCCGAAAGCAAAATTGAGAAATATCTTTACCGACTTCTTGGCGAACGACCAGACAGGCATCACAACGCAACCGAGCAAACTACCGGTCGGGTTGACTGCGTTTAGTGTTTGTGTCTGAAACCTGATCGCTATGCATTAAGTTTCCCTACCGCGCAGCATAACAGCAAAAAGGTTTACATTGCTTTAATGTACCTATGTAGATATTTTTTTAGCTGCCTGGAAAACGTAATAGCTCCACCAACCTACAGCGCAAAATTAAAGTTAATCGCTAAAGTTGTATAGTGGTGCGTCAGCGTCGTCGTAGCAAGTCAAGTTCAAGTTCAAGTGGGGCTGGAATAGTAGGATAAATCTCCGTGAATGTTCCTTACGTGGCGTGTCGTTTATCCAAGATTCTAGTTCAAGTTTAAGTTCAAGTGGGACTGGAACGATAGGATGAATCCCGCAAGTGTTCCTTCTTGATAGGGCCGTCGATCCAGGAGTTGATAGGGGTGCTCCGACTTTTTCTTGGGTCTAAAAGGAAAACACCCGAATAAACACCCTGGTCCACCAATTTAATGCCCACGTTCCTTACAGCAGCTGTCCCAGCTATGTCAGTTACGTGAAGTAAGAGAGGAAGAAAAAGCGAAGGTAAGAGAGTAGGGGAAATCAGTTAAAAGAAGAGAATAATCCCAGTGGCGAGGAAAAGTAAAGAAAATAGAATCGAAGTAGGAATATGGGAATTAGTCAGGAAAATGAAAAGGTTTCATGTTGCCACCCAAGAGCGTCTAGTTGACGCTCAAACCCCTCAACCGTACATTCCTTGACAACATGTTCTGGAAGCAGGTTCCAGCGCTCGATGACTCGACGGGATAACCGTGTCTCCGCTCTAACCCGATCGGACCGCTGTTTGTCCAGCTTCATACAACGCCCACGAAGACCAGATAATCTAGCAGGACTAAATAGCATGGACAAATCAGGGCCAAGCTTGCCAGTCAAAATACGGTAATTTAGGCTTAGGTCCCATCTAATCCTTCGATAGTGCATTGACTGCATCCCCAAAATAAGTAGGCGTTCGGGGTACGTTAGACCTCGTAATCCATTGACCAACCTAGTACCGACACGCAACACCCTTTCTAGTGCCATTTTTTCCCGGACAAGGCATGGTGGACAGGCCTGGACGCAATATTCTAGGTGGGGTCACACAAACGCTGAGAAGAGTTTCACAAACACATCAGCGGTTATGGTCCCAAAAGAACGACGGATAACTCACAACCTCCGGAACCCTTTACTAGCTGCCTTCTTCCAGTTGTCGCCAGAGTGTAGTGTGGAACAGTGGACGACACCCAGATCAACCTAATGAGTCACATGAGGAAGTTCACTCCCATCCAGCACATAACTTGTGGAGTAATCAGACGCTCCAGTACGCAGCACTGAACACTTTGCCCGGTTTATGGGCAGCAACCACAAGAGACCATTCCCAGAGTCTATCTAGAGCCCGTTGAAGAGCCACAGGACCTCCAGAGATATCAACAATACTCCAGAGCTATATGCAATCAGCAAATAAGAGCGATGGTACCTCAAGCTCCTCCGGCAGGTCATTCAAGTAGACAGAGAAAAGCAGTGGACCTAGGACACAGCCTTGCGAAACGCCGCTAAGTACAGCTTGGCGAAAGGAAAGACTGCTTCCCACACGAATACACTGTTCCCGTTCATACAGGAAAGCTGACACCCACTGGAGAGCACGACCAGCTATTCCCTACGACCTCAACTTCAGTGAGAGTCGTGAATGGAGGACAGTGTCAAAGGCCTTGGCGAAGTCAATGAACACCACATCCACCGCATGTCCACTGTCTACGGCTTCAGCCCAGCTCTCATCAGCTACCAGCAAGTTCGTCTGACACGAAAATCCTTTACGAAAACCATGTTGCTCGAAGCAAAACAGATTAAACCTATTTAAATGGTTCTCTACTGTATCCCGTAATACTTTTTCAAGCAACTTAACGACCACGCTAGTCACGCTGACAGCGCTGAAATTAGCCGGTAGGTCTTTGCCACCGCACTTGAAAATCGGACAGACAACAGCCTCCTTCCATTCGGTAGGCAAGATGCAGCTGTTGAGTGACTTCTGAAACCCACAAGTCAGAGGTCCACTGAGTTCCACTGCCAATTCATGCAACAATTTTGGATGAACGGAATCTGGCCCGGAGAACTGGGGACTCAGTTACAGGAATTTCAGCTAGACAACAGTCCTCAGAGACTCTTGAAGCTAACCCTTTGCATGGCGTATTTGTTTCGCGGACAAAGGCGCTTGAGTACTGCTTACCAAGCACGCACGCCTTGTAATAGTCGCTATAGGCATGGGTCCCATCTCCTCAAAGCAATGGTGGCATGGGCGAGTTTGCACCACAGCGTCGTTTAACCTGAGCGAAGAATTGCATGGGATTTTACGAGGCAGTATTAGCTAAGCCCTTTTCATACTGAAACCAATCTAAAATGTATCTTGCATTCATTTCGAACTAACCGATACTTGTCAAACGTGCTGTTCGACGGAGCTGTTCGGTATGCCCGCCAGCATCTAGACCGCTTTTTAGCAGGCCCTTCCCCGCGGAATCTATCCACGGAGGCTGCGCTCTCGATTCCCTTCTTTTTACCAGTGGGACGTGAGGTGCAGAAATGTCGACGAGGTGAGCCTTAAGCTTTTCCCAGGCTATGTGAACAGTGTCAGTCTCAGATATCACACAAGGCGATGACCTAGCTTTATCCTGCATCGCTTGGAAGTTCGCGGCCCAAATGTTCGGATACCAACTGGTAGTAGCTTGGCAAGACCTGATAAGAGCACACTGGGAAGACAAGCAAACGGGATCGCTAGCGCCAAGAGGCGAGTAGTATTTAATGTCATTTACAAAGTCATGTGACTTAGCAAAAACAAGATCTAAAATAAACGGCTGCTGATTGCTCATGTACCTAGTGGGGAGGTCCACGAACTGGTGTAGTGGTACCTGCAGCGTCAAGTCCAGCAGTTCTGTACCGAACGATTCCAGATCCGAACTGCAAGATAGATCATCCCAACAAACCTCTGGGAGGTTGAAGTCTCCCAGCACCAGACACTTGTTCACAGAGTGAGTGCGTATAAACTCAATGATTCTATTGGAAGTGCTCATAGGGCTTCTATACACTAACACGACCGTAACCTGAACCGAGGAAGCGCAAATCAAGACTGCGAGAGCCTCAACAGATTTGTCGAGAGACTGAAAAACGCTGGTCTTCAATATGTCTATGTGATAACTCACATAAAGAGATACACCACCTCCTTGACCGTCAAGCGGAACAGTGCGTAGCCAGGCAGATATACTTCGTCATCGGTGATTTCCTCGGACAGCCACGTTTCAGTGAAAGCAACTATATCTGGAGGAGATTTGTCTACGAGCAGACCCACCTCGCACAGCTTGTTCCTCAGGCTACGCACGTTACTAAGCACTACTTGGAGGGCATCGGCACGAAAAGCCCTGGGTCGTGCGCAAGTAGTATAGGTTCTGGCAGGGCGGAAAAGAACCGCCGGCTGACCACCTGAAACCCACCAATCGGGGACCTTGCTCGCCAAATGCACGCCGGGCTTTTAGGTCTCTGATGGATTCCTTTAACTTTAACTTATCCGCTAACGGAAGGTCTGGTTGCACACTAACGTTGCTACCTTTAAGCTTGAAGGCAAATCTCAGTAAGGCCCTGCGCTCTTCTGGGTTGGATAGGACCACCCTAAACAGACGGGGTCGAGGCTTTGGTTGATCAACCGGAACGTTCCCCAATCTGATGAGCTTCCTGACAGTAACGCCAGGGAAACCTGGTGGTAAAAGCCTGGTCACGCAAACTTTAAGCCAACCCAGATCATCAAGCATGCGCTCGGTGGGAAGAGCGGCAGTGGATTCAGTGACGTTTCTAAAAATCACACAGCTATCTGTGTAAGAATCGCCTCGACGAGGTGTATTTACTCCACGCGCTGTACGATCCACGCTACATGGTTGTTTGACAAGAATCGGTGGGACCGTAGGCGACGGCACCTCTTGTCTCACTGAGGGAAGTGCAACACCAGATGGTGTTTCTAACTCAGGCGCTTGTTTCTTGAGCATTTTGTCCCCTTCCGGTTTGGGGGCGGAGGGTTTGCGCGCTTTCCTTGCCCTCTTTCGCTTATTTTGCAATGGCGAGGGAGCCCGTGACTCGCCTTCCATTTGGGGCGGATCAACAATGCCGTCCGAGGCATCTGTGTTAGTTATATCCACGTGAACTGGAGCGTCCGGTAGGATGGACGCCTCGTAAACGGTTGGACTAACAGCAGAAGTATAGTCCGTTACAGCGTCCACATTCGCAATATTCAGGGATTTCATAATCAAATCCACTTTAGAGTTGAGCATGGCAAGTGAGGCAAGCTCGGCTAATGCCTTCTCGACAACTGTGCATCTGGACGCTAGTGCTTTGAATTCAGCGCAGGTGAAAGCCGGGAGCTTCGCTTGCTGAGAGCAACAATCAGCACATCTAAACAGAAAGCTTTCACTGGAGGATAGCATCTTGTACTGATTCGCTTGGAGGCCGGTACAACTTTTGTGACACCAACGAGAGCAAACATCACACTGCATGCCACCAGCTGAATCCGTGACTAGTCTTGAACAGGCAGAATTGCTGCAAGCTGCATTTGACTCATCAAACGAAGACGCAACGGGTTCATCCGCCTCGGTTTTTCGCGAGACGATCATGTTATTCGTCCGCGATAACTCGAATCCAGAGGAGTCAGATCAGCGCACGCGATCCACTCCACGGTCAATCAATTAATACCCACGCGATCTGCACTGGCAATCCCGGCCGCTCTGGTCAAGTTAAATAAGAAAGAGAAGCGCTAAAGTAATAAGAGCTTCAAGAAAAACAACGTAATATATTTAATAATTCAATAAGACGAATAAGCTAGGACGTGAAGGGAAATGCTAAGAATGGTAGGCCAAGGCCGCCCAGTCGGTGTTCGAACTCTTTCACTGTTGGTGCCAATACAACTTGCTCGGACTGTAAATTCCAGGAATCCACCACTCGACGTGATAAACGAAAGTCCGCCCGGACTCCAACCGCTCGAGGTTTGTGTAACTTCATCGG